CGGTGCAGTTGGTTCGCCGGAGAGCAGCGCAGCGGCCCCGGCTTCCACCTACGGGCGCCCTGGTACGGGTCGCAGAGCTAGGGTTTAGTAGGCTGCGCGACTCAGGAGCTCTCGGCTTCTGAAGTCAGAGCGAAAGGGACGGGGACCCTGGCAATACCAAGAGGTACTAGGTCCCACGTTCGGGGTCCCAAGAGCAGCTGTGTCCTCTGCGCAGTCGCGTCTCCCGGGCGGGGGCGGGGCCTGGCCGATCGGGGGCGGAGTCAGACCCCAGACCCGCCTCCGCAAGCGCCCGGGCGTCGGAGAGCTTGGCCCCCGAGCTATTCTGGGGGCTTCAGGTGAGCCCCGGCATATAGGAGCCAGGGAGACCTCCCCAGAGGTCGTGCTGTCAGGCTGACCGAGGGTCCATCTGTCCTGCCCTCTGCCCGCGGCCGCCTCGTGGAGAATGGGAGAACAAAGGGAGGGGGCGGTTCTGGGCCCCGGGAGGGAATCCAGGGTCCCAGGTACTCCACCCCGCCCTCTTACACTTTCGGTTTCTCCCCGAGTCTTAGGCGCCGCCCAAGAGACCCTGGGCTGGCGCCGGTCGCAGCTGGCTCTCCACGTTTGCTTGTCGATCTTTGTGTCTGTCTCTGTCTGTCTGGCTGTTTCCGAGCTTGTCTCCACTTCAAAACTAAGCCGCCAGGGCACCAACATCCCACCGAGCCACCCGCTCTCCCTCTCTCATGGCAGGTAAGCGGTGCTAGGCTGGGGTCTCCGTTATCCCCCCCCCCCCCGGACTTGGGTGCCGGGTGTGGAACATCCTCTGGGAATGTGCTCAGACTGGCTGGTTGCATGGGGCCCTCCCTTCCTCCTGTGAGCCGCCGCCCTACTCCCTGCCCCATCCTTTGCCTCTGCCCACATTTCCCGCGGGGCTCGGCCCTTGGGCTGAGGGTTGAGGGGATGAAGTTGCAGGTACCTTTCAAATTTATCCCTGCCATCCCCCACCCCCCGCACAGGTTACTTACCCCCCAAAGGCTATGCACCTTCACCCCCACCACCTTACCCTGTGACCACGGGATACCCGGAGCCCACGCTGCATCCTGGGCCTGGGCAGGCATCCGTGCCTACCCAAGTGCCTTCGCCTGCGCCTGGCTTTGCCCTCTTCCCTTCGCCAGGCCCCGTGGCCCCCGGGCCTCCTGCACCCTTCTTGCCACTGCCAGGGGTGCCTTCTGGCCTCGAATTTCTGGTACAGGTGAGTGTCAGGGAAGGTGTCGGGAGAGCACTTGAGAGTTCAGGCTGGCCAGTTGATGTCAGCACTATCCCTACTCTTCTCAGATTGATCAGATCTTGATTCACCAGAAGGCTGAGCGAGTGGAAAGTAAGTTAAAGGACTCTGCAGTGCTCATTACTGCAGCAGGGATGGTAGGCGTCTGGGGGGGGACATCCGAGGCACCTAAGCCCCATCGTGTCACCCTGGCAGCGTTCCTAGGCTGGGAGACCTGCAACCAGTATGAACTGCGCTCAGGGGTTGGGCAGCCCCTGGGTCAGGCAGCTGAGGAAAGCAGCTGCTGTGCCCGTCTGTGCTGTGGTGCTCGAAGGCCACTCCGTGTCCGCCTGGCAGACCCCGGGGATCGTGAGGTGTTGCGCCTGATCCGTCCACTCCACTGTGGCTGCCTTTGCTGTCCCTGTGGCCTCCAGGAGGTAGGTGGGGAGCCCTGAGCTGCAGAGAGGCTGAAGTGTTAGGTCAGGGTGAGGAGGTGGGCAGAGGGTGCACAGCTTGGAAAGAGGTGTGGCTCTAGTGGGAGTGGGCAGGTGGAGATGGCAGGTTAGTGAGGGGCTGGGTAGACAAAGGTAATGAATGCCAGATAGTGCCATGACCAGTACGAACTTGAGTCAGGGTGCATAAGCTCAGCAATGACCTGTTTACTTCCCATTCCAGATGGAAGTACAGGCTCCACCAGGCACCACCATTGGTCATGTGCTACAAACCTGGCATCCCTTCTTCCCTAAGTTCTCCATCCAGGATGCTGATCGACAGACAGTCCTACGAGTGGTGGGACCTTGCTGGACTTGTGGCTGTGGCACAGATACCAACTTTGAGGTATTGAGTTTAAAGGGGAGATCTCTGGAATCTTCATAAACCAAGATGGCACCTTCCATGAGGCCAGATGGCCTGACTAAGGTCAAGACCCTGAACTCATTAATCCAAATGCATTTGACTCCTACATACTTCTAGTTTTCCTCCATTCAGATATGGAATGGCTTTGTGGTCTTACAGAAGTATAGCAGAAAGGCTTTCATCTTCAGAACCAATGTTTGATGGTAATCTACAGCCCTGGGTTGGGGTGAGGGGTATCTGATCTATCCAACCTCAAGTCCAAATGATAGTCTTCTAATCCACCACCAGTGGAACCTGGAGAACCAAAGTGATATGTTTCAGGATGAGACATGAGTAATACCTTACTTTCTAAGGATAGAAGCACTCCATAGACCCCAGAATTCTTTTTCTTTTTTTTTTTTTTTTTGAGCAGAACCAGGGATTGAACTCAGGCCCTTAAGCTTGTCAGGTAAGCTTTTATTCTACTGAGGTATCTCCCCTGCCCCAGGATTCTTTAAGGGATAATTCCCTGCACAGATAAGAGAGAAGCAACAGCTATTATCCAGTAGAATTGCCAACACTTCTGATAAGGCACTTTACCTAAGGGCACTTTTAAAAAGTGAGTCACCGGGGCCGGGGAGATGGCTCAGTGGAATAAGTGCTTCCCTGGCAAGCGCAAAGGACTGAGTTCAATCCCTGGTTCCACCAAAAAAAAAAAAAAAAAGTGAGTCACCTTGGTAAGTCTGAGGGAGGTTCTGTGATGGGAACCAGTTGGGAAGGAGACAATTGTAATCTCTATATGGAAATGTAGGTTTCTATATGTGATCTCTATGGAAATATGATCTCTATATGGATTGTGGATTCTCAGAGAGCTAGTGTCCCTTTTACACAATTATGAATGTCCATACTGAGACTGCACCCTCAGGACTACAGGGCAGACTGGGATAGCTCTGTTCAGCCTGGGACAGAGCTTCAGGAAGTTCCCTCAGCTGTAGAACAGTGGGGGAAGGGTATGGACAGGATATAGAAGGAAATTGCTTTGGTCCTAGTCATCAGATACAGAGCATGAAAAAGGACCAGGAAGCAACTATGAGTTACTCCCCACATCAGCAGAGCCTACTGTTGTTGGACTCAGAAAGGTTAATGAAAATCTTGGTCTTCAGAGACACCTCCCTGCAATTGTAGATCAGTTGAGACTCACGTACAATGCTGGGCAGGGAATGTCCCTACTTTGCAGACTAGAGAAAAGTCGTCCTTTAGAGCAGACATAGCCATCTAAGAGTGTGCTTGGCTGGTAAAGTACTGTCAGGATTTTGTCAGCTTCCTTTGCTCTCTCAGCCAGGCTTCTCTGCAGGGTGCAAACTCTACCAAAGGGGGGTGTCAGGGGCATTAGTAATCAAACCAATAACCAGCCATATGCTAAAAGGATTTGACTATATCATGCTTCTATTTCTCCTACTATTATTCAGCTATGTCATATATGGCCCTTGGAGAACAGATGTGAGTCTGAACCCTGATTTTTGCTATCTACTGGCTTGCAGTGTAGGGTGCCTCCAGCTGTCACCCAGAACCTGAAAGCTGTTAGGATTCATTCATTGGATGTAGATCCTGTACAATTCATACTTGGTGATTACAGGAGTAACACTAGAGGCAGGTGAGACTGGTCACATCCTCCTCAGTTGGAGCCTTCTTCCCTCCCAACAGGTGAAGACCAGGGATGAATCCCGCAGCGTGGGCCGCATCAGCAAGCAGTGGGGGGGGCTCCTGCGTGAAGCCCTCACGGATGCTGATGACTTCGGCTTACAATTTCCTCTGGATCTGGACGTGAAGGTGAAGGCTGTGCTGCTGGGGGCCACATTCCTCATTGTGAGTTTGCCACCCCCACCCCTCCCTTCCTGCCACTCCTTTGCTGTCACTTGATGCTTTGTATATTTCCTAGCCTCTTGCTAGGAAAATGTTAGGTATTGTGGTATATTGAGAGTCTGTGGGTCAAGACTTAGGTTGTGATAGCTGAGCCAGGTAGGCCCAGCCAGATCTGTTGACAGTAGCCTCCCCTCAGGACTACATGTTCTTCGAGAAGCGAGGAGGTGCTGGGCCTTCTGCCATCACCAGCTAGAGGATGCCTCAGGGTGAAGAGACCATCCCCGCAACCAGAATTCAAGATGGTCACTTACTGTGGCCTGGCTCCTCCTCAGAGACAGCCCCTTTCCTCTATGTACACTGCAGGGGACAGACAGGGATTCCTGAGTGGCTGGGGGCCCTGATGCCCCAACGCTGCCCTCTCCCCTGGCCTCCTTTTTCTGTGGCCCCACAGAAGGGTATGTATAAGAGCCCTTTCCTGCTGCCTCCCAGTGGTCCCTCTGCACAAAGGCTTAACAGCTTTCAAACTTCCCCTGCCCACTCCCTCTCACACTCTTCAGGGCCTCTGCACAGAGAGGCCTTTGGAATCCAGGACTTTGGCTTTACCACAGGGCTAGTGGGTTAAGGGCAAGTAGCACCAAAGATGGCAGACATGCTGCCTTTCCCCTGCATCAGCTTGGCCAATGAGTTCAGCCTCAGATTATAGCACTTTGAGGGGATTCCCATTTTCCCACTAACAGCTGTAAAGGCTGGGCCCTCGTGCCAACCTCCTTTCCCCATTGGGCCCTGCCCACAGCTGGTGCTTGCTGCAGCTTCCTGTGCCTTACTTAGCCACCCCTCCCTCCCTTGCACTAGGAAGGAGGCTGCATCTTTGTATGTTGTATTCATATAAAGTTTGTAACTTTTTGAACATTGAAAGATGTATGTAATGGGGGAGGGTAGAAGACTGGTATGGTAAAACACAAAGGGAAATTTGAGAGCTGGGCTTGGGTTGCCCCATCTCCTAATCCATGCTATTAGGATCAAATGTCCTTGAGTCCAAGAAGATAATTTCATCACCTGTGACAGCCCTTGCCTAAACCAAGGCAATTTGGGCCATGTGTCCCAAGTCAATATGGCCACTTCCACCATCTAAGATGGCTGTCTCACAAAGTCCAGTGAGGTAGCAAATGGCAATCCAGGATGGCTGTTCACATAGTCCAGTATAACCAGTTGATCAGACTGTAGTGAGTAGAAGCTTCCTCCATAAATGCTATATTGCAGCTCTTTTCCTTCAGGTCTTCCTCCTACTTGATGATGTAAGAGTGGATTAGGTCTTTCTTATCCCAGCCAAGGATTTTTAGGCCCTCAGAGGCAGGGGACAGGGTAGGGAGGAAACTCATTGGTGCCTAACCCTGGGCTTCCCTGAGTACTTTCTGTACCTGCCAGGACCAAGTAGGATCTCCTTAGGTGGTAACGTCTAACCTTAACGCTGTCAAGACTTTAATTCTGATTTTGCTTGTTTTCATATGGCCAGGCCTTGAGGGGTCCGGGGATTTCATGCTGGTGTCTGTGCCCTAGGAAGTAGAGCTCAGGACTGGGCTAGGACGTAGCGGCTGGCGGCTGAGAGGTCCCACTGATAATGCTCCAGGATGCGCCGGCAGTCAGCTCTGGACTGGCTACTCAGATAGAAGAGCTGTTCTACCTATGGAAGCAAGGAAGAGGGCAGCTAACTTCTACCTGAGGTGACAAGGATAGAGCAGGAGTCTGAAAGAAAGTTCTGGCTTACCTTGAGGTTCTGGATGGCAGAAACCACATCTCCCCCTGTGGCTCTTAGTGCCACCTGGCATTCCTGGTGGGTGACTCCATGCACACTCACCTCCACCTGCAGGGGACACAGCCTCACTCAGGGCCTTGTCCCATTTCTAGGCCTTTCTGGACACCCGAGACCACACTTACCTCTGTTATCCTCCTCTGCCATTCAGTGTCAGGAAAGAGGCCTCCAGAGAGGACAGTGGCTTTACTGGCTCCAGGCGTGTTAATGCGGTGATTATGTAGGGGTTCTCTTTTGGGCCTGGGAGGCCTTTCTCTAGGGGGCTGGCTAGGCTGAGAAAAACTGGAGGTAAAGGGTGGGTGTGGAGGCAGGCCTTGGAGTCCTGGAGGCACAGCTCTTTCACGTCGAGGTTCAGGGGGGCTGGAACCACCCCCTGTGGGGCGAGGGCCCAGGGACAGAACTGACTCCAGACTCTTAGAAATGCCTGTACAGTGGAGAAAGAAACAACTTGAGAAGGGACCCAGATCCTAGGTCCCACTTTTTCCTGCTTTCTGTTCTTTATCTGTGCCGAGCTGGATGGTTTCATGAGAATTTCCAGGTGAGGTAGCCAGCACTGTCCTTGGGGCGGTTCATGTGTTAAATGGGACGACACGGCAGGTATAGAAATGGGCATGAAGAGTTAGGTAGCACCAAGAGTGGTGGCACATGCTTGTAGTCTCAGCATTGGGGAAGCTGAGGCAAGAGAATCACTGTGAATTCAAGGCCAGCCTGGGATACATAAACAAGTTCAGAGCTAGTCTGGAATACATAGACCCTGTCTCCACCCACCCCCAAAAAGAGGAAAATAAAGCACAGGCAGTTTGCCATATGTAGTAATAGTGGTAAATGAAGAAGGATTGCAAGTTTAAGGCAACTTGATAAGACTGTCTCAAAATTAAAATAAGGGTGGGTGTGTAGTAGCACACGACTGTAATCCCAGCACTCAGGAGGTTGAGGCAGGAAAAGCATTGTGAGTTTGGGACTAGTCTGAGCTACAAAGTGAGCTCAAGGCCAGCCTGAACTGTGTAGTGAGACCCTGTCTCAAAAACACAAAATAAAAGATTGGGGATGCAGCTCAATGGCTGGGTTTGGTTCCTAGCACTGAAGAAAAAAAGACAGAGTGTGTGTCAGGTGGCCCAAACTCAGGCCAGAGGGGGAAGATGCTGTCCACTAGGGAAAGCAGAGAGCTTCAAATCTCTTAAGATCTTACAGTATAGGACCGAAGGGTCTGGTAGGGCTGAGCAGCGTGCCTAATCCGTATAGCACGGTAGTGTCTGACCCAGACCATGAGTCTTCTGACTCTGTTCATGTCACAATAAAATGCTACACAAGTGAAAAAAAAAAAAAAAAAATCTTACAGTATAGGTAGGATGCCTACAGGCAGGATTTGAAGGAAGGGAATCATATGCAGAGCTACGGATTCAAGACAGGCAGAATTGGAGGGTTGTTATGGAGCTATGACCCTTCAGTCTTAGTGTACCAACCTTTCATCCTCTGCAGGGGCACTTTCCTTCTCTGGCCCTGTGCTGGAGGTAGATCCTGAGGCTTTTCCTTCTCTCTGTCCCTGTTAAAAAAGAAAATGATCCAGTTCATTCTCCACCCCTCACATACTCACCCTCCCCACCAAAGAAACTGGGGCTCTGGGGTATGCTGAGGCCCTTCCCCTACCAAGCTGTAGCAAAGAGGCAAATTCAGCTTCCTCTCCAGGCTCACCCCATCTTATCCCCAAGCTTCTTCCAGAGAAGTGGACTTGGGCAGTCACCCTAGCTCGTCCCCAACCCTTTCAATTCTTCACCTGTCTGTGTTCCCTTGGTATCGCTGTCTCCTACCAGGGGAGCCCCTGTGGACTGCACGGGTGGCTGAGGAGCTCCCTGAGTCTGCAAGCATCACTGCTGAGGCTGGGAAGCCCCCCACCTTGAAGGTGCGGCCATTCTGTCCCTTCCACGTTGTAGAGTCAGGGCTGTGGGAAGAAGACTGGTGAAGGGGGTGCGACCACAGAGGAGAACAGCAGCTGGGCCCAGGCCCATTCAGCTCACCAAGCTGTGTGCCTTGTGACTACATCTGCCCAGAAAAAGGGAAGTGTTTTTCTTCCCAACACAAGAGGGCTCTGGGCTCTAGAAGGGAGGCCAAGACTGTGCTGGAGCTCAGGGCTTAGAAGGGAGGGGAGAAGAAACAGAAGACAGGAGCGAGAAGGGTTCAGGCACCAAGAAGGCTTCGGAAAGTGGGCTTCTCTGGGTTTTTGGAGGGCATGAGGCTGTTACCTGCCCTCAATGATGGTGATGGAGTCACCAGGTTCCATCTGCAAAGCTCCTGGCTCTGTGACATCCCGCACACAGCGTCCCTCAGAAGGCCAGGCCTGTGGAGACAGGAGGAAAGGCTGGGCTTTCAAAAAGCCTACGTCAGAAGGGTAGTATGGAATCAAGGAAGAAAGGAGACCTTTTATGCATATACCAGTCAAACCCATGGCAAATATGTCCTCTGCTGGGCTGCAGTGGGACTGTCCCTGTCTCCCATTTGTAATCTGGTCAGGCCTGCCTAGATCCCATGCCAAGCTAAACGGAACTCAGCGTTCGAGGAACAGCAACAGAGGGCCCTCTCTAGTGAGACCAAAGGGAGAGCTGCTGCTGCTTTTACTCTGCACCCTGGCCTGTGAGGTTGCCTCCTAAGTGCCTCAGGAAAATTTCCATGCCTCTCTGGTACCATTTCCTTAACCCTCACCCACATCTCTTGCTCTCGCTTCTGTTTCAAAATCGGTGTCAATAATATCTCTCAAAACCATTCTTGGACTAGGCTACAGAAAATGACACAAAGTTGGTTTGTAACTTCCTTGCTCAATACATTTCCACAACACCCAAGTAGCGCTGGAGTAAAGACAACTGCTTTACTAGTACAGCAATTTAGGGGACAGCTCCTGAAGTCACATTAACTGGTGCTAGTCTCAGTCCTCTACTTACTCTGTGGTTTTAGGCAAGTTACTAAGCAGTGCCTCAGCTGTTCCATCTGCTAAATGGAAAAAAAAAAAGTACCTCATGGGCTTGTTGAGAGGACTAAATGAACAAACAGGGTGTCTGCAAAGCACCTAATACAGTGTCTCACATGGCTCAAGTGTTCTGCGTGGGCGCTACGGTTCCTGACATGCCCCAGAAACCCTCTATGATGCAGCCCTGCTTACCTCTGCAGCCTCATTACTTCCACCTCCCCTCCCACACAGAACTTCTCTCTTTGCCTGTCATACACCCACAGGGACCTACTGCTCTCTCTTGTGTCCCCTTTCTGGCCCAGACACACACAGGCCTTCAGCCTGCATAAATGTAGCCCCTACCAGCCTTCCAGGGAATCTGAGCTCCTGAAGCTAGAGACCAAATGTTTTGCTCAGAGCTGGGTCCCAGAGCCCAGCATAGGTATCTGGATATCTTAGTCTTATGCATGAAACCCTAGGGGATGGCAGGGGTTGGGGTGGGGTGGAGGGAAGAGATATCCCATCTCTGGGGTGGAGCTGGGAGTTCCCACCTCTTGGAGTAGCCCCTCCAGGTAGGAAAAACTAGGCCTGTCCGAAGGATGGGGAGCCCAACAGCGCAAGGCGACAGAGTAGAGGGCCCTGGAGCAGAGTGGAGGCCTTGGCAGCCGAGCTCGGTCCTTCTCCAGTAGCTGCAGGATGAGGTATGGCGGGACCCCAGCCCAGGGCTCCTCGCCCCCAGAGAACATCTCCCACAGTGTCACACCAAACATCCACACATCAGAGGCTGAGGAGAAAGCTCCTTGGCGAAGGCTCTCTGGGGCACACCTGTGGAAGAGGAAGCTGAAGGAGGCCAGATAGGTGCCCCAGAGTGCCCACCCCCTTGTGTGTCCCCACGTCTCGTCCTTCTTTGAGCCCCTTGAGGCAAAGAGTCTCTGTTCCCAGCTTCTTTTGGTGGCCAGTTGGCTCCAAACTCCTGCCTGCTGGCCTCTAGACTGGCCTGCACAGCCCTCCCAAGCCACCCACCACTGCAACCACCCTCACCAGGCATAAGGGATGGGGCGGGGACCACCCATCACATAGCGGCCCCGGGCACCGCTCAGCGGCCGCACCAGCCCAAAGTCCGCCACTTTGATGGTGCAGGGTGATGCCAGCAACAGGTTTCTTGTAGCGAGGTCCCGGTGCACTAGCCCGCGGGCCCCCAGGTACAACATAGCCCCTGCCAACTGCCGAAGGAAGAGGCAGAGCAGAGTCACGGGGAGTGGGGGTGTTGGGGCCGGGGCTGTCAGTCGAGCATGCAGGGAGCCCAGTGGTGCCAGCTCCATCACCTGCAGAAGCAGACCCTTGTGAGCTGTGGTCTGGCGCTATAGCACCTTCCTGCCCCACGCGAGGCCTGTAGCTGTCTGAGGAGCCAGCGTCCACATCTGCTCACCATCTGTAGAGGCTGGCCCAATACCAGGCCATGCAGACACAGCACGTGTGGGTGCTCCAATTTCATCATGACAGACACCTCCCTCAGGAAGTCTCCCAGCTCTGTGCCTACAGGGCCTTCAGGACCTACTCGGAGGGATTTCACAGCCACTGGGACCTGGTGATTGGAGGAAGAAGCATCATCAGGCACCCTGGGACCAGCCATGTCAAGACCAGAGTGTAAAGGACATAAGGACTGCATGGACAGTGGTGCCAGGACCCCTGGATACTCACACTCTGGCCGCTAGGCAGTGTCCACAGTCCTCGATGTACTACACCAAAGCAGCCTGAGCCCAGCAGCTCCCTTCTGCACACAGCACTCTCTGGGATCAGACACTTGAGTCCCCCCTCTGGTTCAGGGAGGTTTGGAGGCCTGTCTGAGGGTGGGATGGTCTCCTTTTGCTCAGGGACAAACCCTCCAAGGATCTGAAAGAGGAGTGGAAATTCAAGGCAAAGAACCTTGCAGAACCCCTGCTACTTACTACTCCATTCCCTGGCCCAAACAGGCCATTTAAGCCCTTCAAACATCACCACAACCACTGCCACATACCTTGTAGACCCAGTTCTTGGACTTGACCCCTGAACGGTGCCTCTTGAGTGCTTCAGCCAGTCTGCGCTGGGCTGGGAGAGGTCAGAATCTGAGACTGGGGTATCAGTAAGGGTGGGCAGGGTGCAGAGAGGTTTACAGGCAAGAGGACTGGGATGTGGGAAAGAGAGCCTGGAAAGTGACAGGCTGGGAAGGCATGGCCAGGGCATTAGTGCCAGGGATACTCACCAGGGCGGCCCATGCCAATGCTGTCCAGGTCCTCAGGCCTTACAAAGTGGAAATGCTCTGGCCGAGTGACATTAAGTTCTTCAAGGATGGGTCGATAAAACTGGGCCAGCTGGATGTTCCTGAGCAGCTGTAGTAGCCACAGGGAGCCAGCCTCAGGGAACATGTCTGGAGAAGGACCCATAGTGATGGCAGTCTGCTTCGGATGTAAGGCCTAGGGTAGAACCTAAAACACTCAGACAACAGAGAGGGTACTCCAGTGCTACCTTCTACCCATCAGAAACATACAGGGGAAGGGACACATCAGAGACAGACAAGAACCCTCCTGCCTTTCACATAGGCAAATCCAAAGTAAGATGCTCTTCATCCTCAAGGCTCCAGATACTCTATCCACCACACAACCACTCCTCTTACCAGAAATCTGTTCCCCTCATATCTGAGACTTCAGAACAGTGCCCTCCCTGGCTCCAGAATCCAGGTATGCCACTGTCCACACTCCAGAGAGATAATGGTATACTGCCTTGTACCCTCAGGGCACCCACATATACCGCACCTTGAGAACTGAGATACACCGTTGCACATGCTCAGACCTCTCCCCTCCACTTACATAAGACATTTTTTGCCTCCTACACACGCTGGAGATGCCTACATATGCTAGCCACACCACACCTCAGAGATGTAGGTACACACACAAAGGTACACTGCCTCTCACATACTACTATGAATCGACAGATTTACTGCCCAACATGCCTGAGACATCTACACACTATCTTCCCAAATCACAGACATTCCAGTGTGGTACCACAAAACACCCAGGTTACTGCCACACCCACTCTCACATACACACACTGGGATGAGGCAGTGCCCTGCCTCCACACAGCGAAGATAGATACACCACCCCACGTCTTGGAGACTGAGGGCCACACAAACACAACTCACAAGACATCAGAGTACAGAGCCCATATATACCTAAGTTATGCAGCCATACTGCCCCTTACCCCAGTGACACAGCGTCATGGCCTTTTAGTCCCCCAAGGAAATCAAATCAAGCATTTGTGATGGGCCAAGTGCGGGCCACTGCTAAGCTTGGTTACTGCCCCAGAGCCCCTCGGCTGCCAGACGCAGTTCCTGCACACCCCCTAAGTTCATCCCAGCTCACCTGTGGCACTCAGTCTGACTCCGCTTCCAGGCCACTCCACCAGCCTTTATTATATAAAGCCCTGAGACCAAGCGTCTGAGTACAGGCTGCCTGCCAATACACCTGTCTCCCTCACATCCCAGCTTTAATTACATGCTAAAGGAAGTGCAAGACTCCAGGTCAGGCCCCCTTGGCAACCTGAGGCTAGGTCCACTTGGCCAACACCGGAGGAGGTGGGTATGGAGGAACGCTGAGGGCCTAAAAGACCCAGCCAGATGGTGAGAGCGAAGCGCAGCAGAACCAAGACCTAAGGAAGACCCAAAGTGGGAAGGGGAGGCGGCCCAGCACCCTGCGGACAGACCCCAAGGGCTCCCCAGCTAATAGGTGCGGCCCTCACCTGGAGAAGGCGGAAGTGGCAGCTGCGGACCGCCCAGGCTGCCAGCGCTAAATCCTCAGAGGGGCGGGACAGAGGGTGGGTCCTGGCTTCTGGCCTAGACACACAGGGGCCCCGCCCCCAAATCCCTGGTGGCCCAAGATGAGAGTGGCCAGAGCTGCTGGTGACGCTTTCTTTCTTCAGGTTAGATTGGCCCGGGCTGGGGAGGTGGCTCAGGGGAATAAGTGCTTCCCTGGCAAGCGCAAGGACCTGAGTTCAATCCCTGGTTCCGGGGTGAGGGAAAAAAAATAGTAGTGAGGTTAGATTGGCCCCTGGATCAGGAGAAACCTGCCTCTGCCAGGCTTCCTCAGCAATCTTTCCAGCCTCCTCCGAGGAACTTACACCCTCCCTAGACTTGCACTTGTGTGTCTTGTCGCCCGCCGCCCGTGTGCTTTCTCCCCAATGCTCCTTTCTTTTAACCAGGGTCCACCCTAAGTAGTTGCCCCTGATGGAGAAACCCTGCCCGTAAGCTGGGAATGTAGGTGGAAAAGGACGCAACGCGGCCCTGTCTTGGGAGACTGCGCCCTAGCACGCGGCAACCAGAAGGACACAACAGGCCAGCAGGGTGCTTTGGAGTGGAGCCAGGGCACAGGCCAGCAGGGTGCTTTGGAGTGGAGCCAGGGCACAGGGCTGTTGATGTTGGTCCAAAGCTGCCAGACAACTGGCCTGCTATGGGTGAGCATAGCTGCTGTCGCCTGCATCTCTTGGAGGGAAAGCCCTTCTTGTACTGGCAAACAACAGGATGTTCCAGCATATTCAGTGAGAAAGTCTTTACAATGCAGTTCTACATAAATTGTTTTCTTGCCAATTCTCTTGCCCTCCAACCAGGCCACCTCAGCAAACTATAATAGTTCCTCTGTGTCTGTCGTCCCTGACACACTGTGAACTCCACAGGATTGGGGCAGGGCCTGTCTTATTTATCTTTGTGTTCTAATTGTCTAGAACAGTATAATGACACACTATAGGCTAGGTACAATGCACATTAGTTGTAAAAAATCTGCTCAGGGGGCCAGCCAGATAGCTCAGCGGACTAAAGCACCTGCTTAGGCAGAGTGCAGCAGCCGGGTTCGATCCCAAGTGTGCTGTTCCGTCCTTGTCCCTGCAGAGTCGGTGATTGAGATGGGGCATGGTGCCGCATGCCTGTAATCCCAGCTATTGGGAGGCTGAAAACAGGAGAATCACTATGAATCTGATCTGTGTAGCATGACCCTGTAGACCCTGTACTAAATACATTTTTTAAAAAAATCTGCTTAGAGCCAGGTGTAGTGGTGCTTGTCTGTAACTTCAAACTCTGAGAGACTAAGTTGGGAGGATAACAGTTTTGAGCCCACTCTGGGCAACTTAGTAACTTAGAAAGGCTCCATCTCAAAATTAAAGAATTAAAAAGGAATGTAGCTCAGCAATAGAGCCCTGGGTTAAATCTTCAGTACCACCAAAAATAAAGTTTTCTCAGTTTATTTGCATCTGATGATCTTTGTAGATGATCCGCCATTATTATTTCTCTCTCTCTCTCTCTCTCTCTCTCTCTCTCTCTCTCTCTCTCACACACACACACACACACACACACACACACACACACACAGGGTCTCACCATACAGTCTGGGCTGGCCCTGTGCTCACTTTTTGTAACCCCCAGACTGTTCTCGAACTCACAGAGATACTCCTCACTCAGCCTTTCAAGTACTGGGATTACAGGCATGCACCATCATGCCCGGTTCCGGGGCCGCACAGTGGGTGCCCGTATCCAGGGCCCAGAGGGCTTGCCCGAGCATTTGGGGCTGAGACTGCCTGGAATGTGGGGCCAGGGATTGAATTTGGGTATTGCCAGGTAGATGCTTATGCCTCTGAACTATCTCCTGGTCCCCATTATTATCTCTTTTAAGATGTTGTGGTGTTTTATGATTTTTCTAATAACTTGTCTAGATGTTAACTCCTTCCTGTTTATTTGGCTCACTATGTTGTATTTCCTGTATATGTAACTTCTCTTTTTAAAAAAATTTTTATTTTAGGGAAGGGTCTACAGGGTGTTCAGGGTCTCACTACTAGATTAGACTTATAGTGATTTGCCTCCCAAGAGCTGGGATTACAGGTGGGTGCCACTAAGCCCAGTCTCAATTGCCATCTCATCCACTTCGGGGGCTGGTCTGGCACAGCAGGCCTGGGGATCGAACGCCTGGCCCCTGTGCCTGTTTGCAGACACTTTAATCCACTGAGTTATTTGGCCAGCCCCTGACTTCTCTTTTTTTTTTTTTTTTTGTGGAACCAGGGATTGAACTCAGGCCCTTGTGCTTGCCAGGCAAGCACTTATTCTACTGAGCCAACTCCCTGGCCTGTGACTTCATATTCTTAATCAGATTTGTATAATTGACAATCAGTATCTCTTCAAATACAGCCATGCACCACATGGCATTATTTTAGTCAATGAAAAACTACATACACGGTGGTAGTCCCAGGAGATTATAATGGAACTGAAAATTCCTATCACCTAGTGGCATTGTAAGCCATCATAAAGACTTACTGGAGGGCAATACTCACAAGTTTGTGGTGATCCTGATATAAACAGATGTATTATATTGCCAGTTATATAAAAATGGAATTCATAACAGGCACAGTAGCTCATACCTGTAGTTCCAGCTATCCAGGGCTATCTCATTTAAAAGAAGGGGACTGGGGATATAACTCAGTAATACAGCACTTGCCTAGTATGTGTGAGTTCAATTTTTGACACTACACACACACACACACACACACACACACACACACACACTAAAATAGTCCACATTGGGTCAGTGTGGTGGATCATACCTATAACCCCAGAACTCAGGAGGCTGAGGTAGGAGAATCCCTGTGACTTCAGGAACAGCCTGGGGTACATAATGAGTTCAAGACCAGCCTGAACTGCATAGCAGACTCTATTAAAAAAAGATTACCGGGGCTGGAGAGATGGCTCAGTGGTCTAAAGCACCTACTTGGAACAAGCTCGGCAAAGCACAGGGACCGCGGTTCGATCCCCCAGCACCACATGCCAGCCAGCCGCGCCCCCTGGTGGGCTGAGCTGGCCACACA